CGAAAAAAAAGAGAGCTAGGGTGAGGGTGGCGGGCTTGTATTCTGAGGATGGGATACAGAAGAAGAATCCAGAAGGCGAAGAAGAGAGGAAGAATCGGTGGGAGATGGTACCAAACAACGGAATGCGCAACGGAGTAAAGTAAAAAAAAAGGGGGACGGTCCGCCAACGAATGCGCAAGGGCAACTGACATGGGAGAGAAGTGATATAAACAAGAAGAAGAGAGCGGGGTTGGGTCGGGATCAAGAAGAATCAACGATGGAACAGAATTCGACGGAAGGGAAAGGGAAAGGAGAAAAGAAGAGGCAGTGGTAAGTACAAGACCGAGTGCGCAAGGGCAAGAGCAAGGGAAGGAATCATAGTCTACAGCAAAAGGGAATCAGGAGGAAAAAAAGAACGGATGAGGTGAGGGCAGGAAAGAGACGCAAAAATCGAAGGAAGACAAAGTACAGAAGAAGAAAAACGGCGGTGGGGTGTACCGGACCGACAAGAAATCAAGGGAACTACAGCAAGAGAGAATATCACGGTCCAAAAATAAAATAAAGAACAAGTGAAGGCGCAGGCGACGTAAATGATCGATGAGAAAAGGAGACTGGGAAAAGAAGAGAAAATAGAAAATGGCGGCGAACAGGAGATGAAATGGAAAGATGGAGGTGCGAAGATAGAAGTGAACGGAAATGTCAGGTGGTGCACATATAGAGCGAACGCGTGAACGCAAAGAGAGAGATATCGAGATCGAATAAAATGAAACGTACGGGCAACGAAATAAATCAATACATAATCCCATAACGGACGCTGTGGGGATACAAACGTGCGACCGACACGGCTGAAACCCGGGGTGTGACGCTCATGGTGACACTGTTGGATTTCTGCGAGATGCGGGCGCCACGAAATCGCGGTGGAGACGACACGGAGGCGGTGGGCGGGACGGGTGCAATGGGAGGAGTCGCAGATGCGCTGGAGGCGGAGCGCGCGCGGGCCTTGGCGGAGGAAGAGCGTTTTTGGGGCCAGCGTGAATTTGGGCTGTTTGAACGAGCGGTTTGGAGGAGAGAAAGACGAGCCCCGAGGAAGTGCGCACACAGAAGGTGTCGATAGACAACGGCGCGGCCATGTCGCACAGATAGTCGATCCACGTCGTTACTGCAGAGTGGGAGCGCGATTATGTGGGTGCCACTGGAGCGGGGCCCGCGATGACGGCTAGGACGAGGGGCGGAAATACGCCGTGCGCCTCACATGCCGGTACTCGTGTGTACATAACGGCGTGTCCATGCGCGTCTCCTTCTTGTCTAGGAAGCGCGGGCAGAAACCGTGAATTAACGGCGGCGTAGCGATGTGGGACTTTTCCGCGTATATATATTTTCGATCCCACGTCGTGACTCGTGCTGCGCAGGAGTCCAGGATGGCGTTACGGCATGCAGAGAGAACGTGATGTTGGTCCGATGATGTTGGCGCCTGGCCTCAATGGCGGTTAGGCCGAAGGCCGTGAATGCGCGACTGCGTCTTATTACCCGAGGATGGTCTCGCTCGCGGGTTGTGCTGCACCCCTGTTTTGATGGTCAATGGCATGCAAGGCAAAGACAACGACAAGGACGGTGACCATGTGCACGGAGGGGAAGTATGGCGCGGGGGCGGCGATGGTCGATCTTGAGCACTTGAAAAGCATACGCGCAGGGAAAGCAAGGAGGAAGAATTAAAGAGAACGAACAGGAGTGACGTGTGTCGTGCTACACTCCCCGAATGACACTTGGGGTGAAGGGCCGTGGCTGCACCCGGCATGACCTCGTACTTACTTTTTTTTTAAATGGCCAATGATGAACAAATTTGTTACTCAAAAAAGGGTTGAGAATAGATGTACTCCGCCAATATTTCATTCAATCTAAGCGGACAGAGAGGCAGCCATCATAAATGGTAATAGGAAGTTAATCTCAGAAGCTGGAAGGAGATACACACGGGATTCTGAGCTACTGCAACATCGCAGATTTTTGGCAACTACCGTGGAATGTGCCGAAACACAAAGTGTTCAGGTTTCCGTAGATAGCTTGTAATTTAATTCGATTTACCTATTACTTATTACCTGCACTTTCTTCCCACTCACTGCGTTCAGGCTCCAGGTAGCCGAAGCGATTTCTAGACGCCGGTAGGCCTGACGAAGCGCAAAAAATTGCCGTCTAGCTCCGGCGAGGTCCGGCTAGTTACCCGTCTAGTCAGCCTCGCGGCGTCTCGAAATAGCTCGGCTAGCTTTGTGGCTAGCTGGGCTCTGAACGCAGACTGGCTTTAGAAAATAAAAAGGAGTAATGGCGATGAAATGATCGGTGACAGTCGGAACAGAACGGAGTTTGGACCAGAACGGATAAAACCCAAGGGGCAAGATGCCGAGACACGCGCTTAATGTATAGTATGGGTCCGGGGCACCTTAATCCAGTTTTCGGATTTCGCCTCAAAATGCTTCGAAAATGTGTTTAAAAGGTTTTTTTTTTTCGGAATTTTTTCCAACCCTGAGCAAACCCTGAGAATTTCTAGTGCTTAACACTATATAGTGTCCGGTTCCATTGTGCTGCAGTGGATTGAAGAAGAAATCAACCTGTGCTTGGTCATTGATACTGCGAATGGTGGAAACAGGGGTGCAAAAACGGCACAGTAGTTTATAGGTAGTAGGAATGAACACGCTAGTTCGGTCTAGCAAATTATTTTACGCTCTCAGACCTCGGAAAAGGCAGACGAAAAATAATAAGCACGCCGGCACATCCCGAAAATCACCTCTTTAGGCCTGAATTGATGGCAATCAGGCGTGGGAATTTCGCTTAATAGTATAGTATGTGTCCGGCACCCCTTAACTCAGTTTCCTAACCCTGTGTAGCCGATTTATTTTGTGGGTGCCCCTTGATAAAACCCCTCTGTTAAGGACAAGCCCATATATTGTTCAGTTCTACAGGTTATCTAAGGATTTCTGAGCGGGGAGGTAGCCACAGTGTGCAATGAAATATTCCTCTCATAAACTAGGGGAAAATATCCAGCTGGTTCTGAGCTAATGCGGGGCGGATTTGGCAGGGAGCCCCTCAATTTTAACAAGGACAAGGGACAAAAAGTTTTTTACTCGGGGAAAAATCCCGTTCTGATGGAAAATAACATCTGAAAACATTACAGCGACTAAAAAGACTACAAAAGTTTGAAGCAAAATTAAGCACTGCCACCAATTTATCAATACACAGCCCCTAAAAAGTCCCTCAACGATCCGCGTCACTAGTCAAAAAAATTGATGAAATTGGTTGAAAGGGACGATACTTATTACATAAGTACTCGTAACAGACACAAACAGTCGGCGGAGCCAGCGCGGATTATCTGAAATAATATATCCTATCAACTTTATGTTATACAGTTGCTTCGGAATTGATTCATCGCCTTCTCCTGGATCCGAGCTGTACATCTTCAGAGCCAATTCCATATTTACATTTACGAAAAATTAATTTTAAGGAAGGTAAAATGAAGGCAAAGTAAAGCGGATAAGGCTTCCACGGAGCCCTTGTTATTGCAAGTTGGGAGGGACATAATAAGAGGGATGAAACGAGCCTCCATCTTCCTCACACTTTTGCAAAGAAGCAGCACAGAACTCGAGAACGATGTGCCAATTAGTCGATGGCAGCGATGCATGTGTATATATGTGCCTGGTTTTCCGCTCATCCCAAACGGTTGCGGCGAGAGGCCATCGAGGATTTCTGTGTTCTACATAATAAAAATGAAGCCAGAATGAATTTGAAAAATTTCAAATCAATTGCAAGAAAAAAAACCATCGAAAAGACACGATCCACCGTTTCCTTCCGTCAAATTTGCTATAATGAAGGATAATTAATCTTTCAACTGTTCTTCATGCAACAAAGACAATTCCTGTCTTTGTTCAAAAGATTGATCAAAACATGAGTCCTGCCTGCTGCGTTCAATCTTCTCAGCCAAAAGATGATAAATATTTCGGTACATAACATGAGTAATTTTTTTGAATGTGGTTTTTGTGTACTTGAAAGCTGAATTTGAGAAGACTATGACCGCTATACATGAAAAAATAGTTTATCTTTTGGCTGGAACAATTAAATGAAAGAGGACTCATGTTTTGATCGATCTTCTAAGCAAAGACAGGGATTATCTTCGTTCCAGTACAATTAGTTGAAAGAGGACTGATCTTTTCTTTCCTGGTCTCGAATGCAAAACATTGTTTACAAATCAAGAAACATGGTATTGATTGGACATCACTGTCCTACCTATTGGCCCCGGCAGGGCAGGGGATTATTTTCTCTCGCCCGAAGGATATACGGTCTCAGGGATCGTCTCGGCGCGGGCAACCGTGAGATCAGGAATGGAATGGATTCTATTATTCTAACTGATAATAATTATAAGTTCGAGATTAAGAAATAAGCCCTCGACCCCTACCTACTTCTGCGCGTTAATATTTAGGTTCGAAAGGACATGGATAGCCCAGTAGTGGGCTAAACATATTATACACTACCAATCTGTGGAGTCTACAGACGTAAGGGGGGATCATGAATCCTCCCAGAGGGATACGGGACTCGGGTAACGATCTCTTTGGTAACATGGACCGGCACTGCACTGCTTATTTATACTTATTTTTATGCAAACCAAGAGAGATTGTGTGGTCCCTAAGTTTAGAGTTAAGCCGAAGAGGCCCCCATGGATGCAATGGTACATCATCCATTCCTTGTGTAAAAGCAATGCGGATAAAGGGAAATTCCTCCCAAGGGCATTTGTAGTTCCCACCGTAGAATCCTCCCCGGGGCATAAGTGGCTGACGAGACTTTTTTTTTACCACATGGGGAAAATTGGAGGTAGATGTCGGACCAGGCCTCGGGCATGGGTAGTGAAATTCGTTTTTGAGGCGGTCTTGGTTGGAATTTATTCACAGCTGCAGAGACAAAAATGCTACTTAAGATTTGAAATACTAACATCAATGGGCCTATTGAGTCAGTCATATCGATGCTCAAAAGGAAGCACAGAAGCCTTCGTGGATGAGTTGCCACATTGTTCATTTCCTGCGCATACTAAGTTCTGGCCTTCAAATGGTAGTCGGAGGTTCGAATCCTCATGAGGGCATAGGATAGCAAAGTGTTTTTTTTTTTTTTTTGGCTTCTTCAGTGGTCAAGCGGCTAAGCAGATAGACCACGAAAATAAACCCTCATGGACAAACATCTACACTATGTTTGTTAAGCATTGGAGTAAGCTGGATAAAGAATATAAGTAACAAGTTCCTGGTACCGATGTAGGTTACCAGGTCTGAAATCCGTAATTCCAGTTCCAAAATCTGGTCTCAGTCATACCATTTTTGATGGCAACCACATCTGGCAACCGTAACACTACGGATCCTGCTTCCTTCTTTTCCCGTGTCGTGTAATACCTACCTACCTACCTACCTGGTACGGCAAAGTCCTTGATGGAAGTGATTTCATCGGTGGCAACTCTTGATTGGTCCACCTCTGTTGCTTTCGTCCCTCATCTTGCCCACTTACAAACCTCGCTCGCCCATAAACCGTTCGCATGAACTACTCTACCAGACGTTGGTAGAGGTGAAGTGCGCGTTGCGCCTATTCGTCAAAGTAAGGAAGGGGTATCTTTGTTGGGCTACTGTGTTCTTGCTCAAGATATATGTCTTCTGTAAATATATTGCTCAGGATGTGGTTGGTATTTGAATATTTTTCACGTGTGCAGACGACCTGTTGAGAACTGGTGTATGAGTCGAAGACTGAGACAATTAAATTGGAGATCCGTCAATGGGGAGATTGGCGAACCGTTCATCGGCTTCCCTGCTTATTATTATACCTGGCTATTGAACCCCTCGCTTGTTTGATACGAAATTCGGAAATTAAAGGTGTTAAAATACCGGGTAAAAAGGAAATTCTGGTAATTTCCCTCTTTGCGGACAATACAACCATTTATCTAACATCCAAAGACTCATTAGAAGAGCTCTGGAAAATTTTGAGGCTATGGTGTGCGGCTTCGACTGCAAAATTCAATGAACACAAGACAGTGCTCTTACCTTTGGGCCGGGCCTCTTATCGGACGAAGGTCATACATGAGAGGCAAATTAACAATGAAATGCACATTAGGGTCATTGACAAGAGCATGAGGATAATCCCCGATGGCCAAACTTGCCGCATGCTAGGGGCTTGGATCAGAAATAAGGTGCCATATACTACACCCCGACCTTCAGTGCTTGAAAGAATTACAGCAGACCTGGAGAGATGGAAAGCATCGGCACCAACTCTGGAAGGGAAACACCATATCTTAATCATAAACATGGTAATTGGTGGCAGGACACAATATTTAACCAGGGAAGGTATGTCCAAAGAGATTGAGGACACATTAATCTAAGGAAGAGAATGTCTTCCTCTGGGACGGAAAAAAGGCGAGAGTTGCCCTGCCCATGAAACCATGTTGCGGGACATTGCTGAAGGTGAGCTACCTGAATATCAGGCCAGGCCAGGTTTTGAATGTTTTCTTACAAGACATACATGTCCCCATATCCTCGAGAACTCCGTTACCGGAGGACCTGAAGCGAACGGTACTGGTAGCTCGTAAATACCGCTTGCAATTCACGGGTCTGTCAATTAGCGAAGAAATAAATTAACAATGCCCATTTGGAGACATCCCATCACTGATAAGCAAAGCTATAACAAGGTGACCCGCCGAGACTCTACATGTCTGAGATTAAACCACTTAGTACGGAATGTTACATAATGATACGCTGGCCATTGGAAACCGAAAAACAATTGTTGCAAGAAAGCCGCACTAGGTGATACGTTAGTAGAAATTGAATGCGCGTTGCACCGGTTCGATCAAAGTAAGGACAGAGTGTCGTTGTTGGGGTACTGTATTCTCGCTCAAGATATACATGTTCTCTAGCTATCGTTGCGACATTGTCTTCATGCTCAGATATAGGTATTTAGTAGATGTTCTTCACGTGTGCTAGTTATTATTAAAGGCGAGCATATGAGGCGAAGACTGCGGCGATTAGTGAGCGTCGGATGAATGGTCCGAGATACTTGTTCTCTAAATATCAGTACGACATTGTCTTATTGCTCAGAATTTAGCTATTCATGTTCCTCGCGTGTGCTAGTCCTCCACTAAATGGTAGCGTATGGGGAGATAAGTGAACGTCGGGGAAACTATCCATACGACATTTTATTGTGCTCCACGAGATATGGGATCTCTGAGAGTTCAGGTTGGTAGGGATTATCCTTACGACGTTTGGTTGTTCATGATGTTCGGGTTCTTAAATGGTAGGGTAAGAGTTGAGCGCGGCTGAATCTTCATGGCTTATCCATGAGCGAGGTATTGGTATGAGGTCTCGCTCCAGGTACCAGGGATGCCCAGAGGGCCTTTTGAATAGATATGAATATGGGTAATGCTCACCTCAGTCGTATCATGGAATGACTGAGGGAGGGAATCATAAAAGTACTAATATATATATGAGGTAAAACGTGGGGCATCAGTGCACATGAGATTGATAGGAAGATAGAATGGGGAGATGGTGCCGAGCGAGGAGTCCATCATAACAATGTTTTGGTAGTCGGAAGTAATGTATATAGGGAAGGCGGAGGCATGGAGCATTCAGCTTCTAGAAACTTTTATTCATGCACAGTCCGAGCGTACGCGGCCGCCGACGAGTGGAACGGCTATTTTTTAAACTTGTATCACATAATGGGCCTTTAGGAATAATGAGCTAGATATTTCGAACTCGCCCTGGGTTGAGGATTAATTATATGTGATGCAGCAGTGAGCGGCATTTTGAGAGTAATATGTAAAATAGAGCGGTCTTCGCGTGCGGCTAGTATCGGCAGGCTGTTGGAAAATCGGCGGAGTACTGGAGCTGAGGAATACCAGAAGGGAGAGACGAGTATGTTAGAGTATCGGATACAAAAAAAAAAAAAGGAAGGAAGATTTAATCCACAAATACTGGGGGCCTGCGCGTCACAAAACAGAGGAAATAATAGGGATCTATACAGGCAGGTCGCGGTGCCAGTGCGTCGTTGGGTGCCCAACGAATTGAAATTTTCTCATTAAAATTTGAGTAAAATGCATATTTGGTGGAGGATGAGCGCAGATTCGCAGGAATGAGTGAGTGTGATTGAGCAACATATTCACCCAGTATCTGGGCTTCGTCGAGAGCGATGTCGTTCCCACGCGCTGTTGCCAGAGGAAGCGGGTGAGTCGGAGAGCGGGCGACTGATGCCGACTGCTGCCGAGATGCACCGCCACACCAGTCTTTCTCGGAGTTTCTCCTCCTCTGCTTCTAGACTGCTTCCGCCCGTGCCACTGGCGCCTCATCAACGTTCAATCTCCGCCAGGAAGTCGACGAAGAGCCTCGAGGTGTGCAAGAGACGTCGGCGAAGTCCCTGTTGCTCCTGCAGCTCCTGCTCTCTTCGGCGTAGAGGTTTGTTATCCGTTACGCCGCTGGTGTAACTGCGACTGACCTGATATGAAGACTGCGAAGCACGATGCTGCGGGCGGTGGAGTGGTCCACCCTGACCAACCCCTAGCGGATCTGGGATGAGGCTCGCTGTGCGCTCGCTAAGACGCGTGAATGCCTGAAGCAAGCCAAGATGATGATATAAGCGAAGTACAAACAGCGTCAACTACGCCTAGACCACGACCGTCCCAAGACATCCTCACTACTACAGCGGACCGGGCGGTGACGATGGAAGAGAACGAGAACGGCGGGATCAGCACCATAAGAAGGGCAAGGTGCGTGGCGTGCTGCTTTATCCTACTCATTAATATTGCTTTATGTCGTCAACCCGCTTCATCTACTACGCGGTGTCTCTTTGCGCCTCTCCCCGCTGCATCCCGTCCTCGAATTCTTCCCGGGCATGTTCCCTCCTCCTTGTAGGCCCCTCTGATCTCATACGCCCCTTCGCCCCTTCCTGTTCCATACGCTACCCATTTTCATCCACCACACCCCACCTTTCGTGGTTTCCATCCTGCGCCCTACATTCCGCTTCTCGCCGCAAAACCACCTATACTCGCTGTCTTTCGGATTATCTTCGCTTCACTGCGCGTTCCGCGACGCCCAGGTTCCTATCATGGTCGTTATACCGCGCACTACCCCACTCCTCTATCCACCCATCCCTTCTTTGGTCTACCTTCCCTTCCCTCCCTACAACCATCCACCCCTGCACCCCTTTTGTTGTCTACACATCTCACGCCGCTTTCACACATTCCGCTTGCGCTTCCTCTGTGAATCACATCGCCACTCCCCCTCCCTGTCATCCACCCCTCACGTCCCGCGCATCGCATCCTATCCCATGCCATTAGACAGCGCCGACTACTTGCCTCTCATTTCGTCTTCTTCCAGACCTATCCATGTGCATCCTCGCGTCTCCGAGCCTCTTCTCTCCCCACCACACCAACCCACTTCCCTGCATTCTCGTTTACAATTACCATCCACGCAGTCGTTAAACTGATATTGGGGACACACCCACCTCCCCCATCTACGAGGACAAGAAGCTGCGTTTTTGAAATACCGTAAATCTTCTCTGGTGATATCGTTAGACTTCAAACCTCTTCCTGTTGGTACGCATCACAGGAAATTCTCCCGTCGCCGCCGCACGCAAATTCTACCCCTCGATATCGCAGGATCTTTTTGGCCCACATCGTACGCTCGGGTTCTCGAATGCCCTCCGCGTCTACGTCTTCGCGGTGCCCCGATGTTCGTGCTCCGGCGGTCTGGAATACTTCCAATCTTCGGCGCATGCCATACCCAACATCCGGTTCAGTAGCTCAAGTTTCCAATAATCTATCCGCACTACCTCCTGTCTCCGTCTCGCGCACCAACTAGCGCGCGCCGTCGTAATATTAACCACCCCGCGCGTTCCATTTCAATACCAATCAATCAGACGGGGCGTTCCAACTTCCACCGCAATACCAGTATAACACCACACTCATCGCCAGCCGCTTCGACGGGAAACGGAATTTGTTGAGTCAAGACCTTGCTTATCGACAACGTCGAGAATCATGCGTGGCCCACGCACGGAAGTTACTGAGGGATCAGATCTGCCGGTGCGTCGCATATCTCTGTCACGACCTACCTCGAGTCT